CAAGCAATATTTCATGCCTCTTGTTCTCAAGTCAATGCAAGTTAAAAGGAGCTTAATGACATTATCATCAGATGCCATTCAAGCAGCACCACTTCATATTGCTTTCAATAGTGGATATGTACCTCCTGGTTTCTTCACTCGCTTTGTGGTTGTACTTGCCAATGCCAAAGGAATGGAGCTTTGTTTTGAGAAAGGTGTCTACAGAAACCGCATCACATTCCGTTATCAGGATCCCAACAGCACCACTATTGAGCATGTAATAGTCACTGATTGTACTGATGTCATTCAGATCAATGTAGTACAACATCATCGTCATCTTGATCAAGAAGTAGTTTTCTTTACAAAAATTTGTCAAGCTATTCGAGTTCTTTTAGAAGATGCAGCAAAAGAAGTTGAAGAAATTTTAAAGAAGTGTGCCAGTGGATGGACTGATGAGAACAAGCCCACCCGATATATATTCACACACAAGTTTAAGTACGTCTGCACTAGCTGTCCTTTGACCGAGTCACCTGATTACCTAACACTTCCACCAGCAAATTCAACTCAGGATTCTCAAGTGTTTTGTGACAAAAATACGAATGACTACCGTGCTCTTACTAAACAGGAGAAGGTTTGGTTTAAAGACACAAGTCAGGTAAAAAATAATTTTAATTTATCTTCTTATTTTTTATACTTTATGTTTTATTATCATTGCAGTGTTTTCATTTGTTATTTTGTTGTTATTGTTATAGTCTGAGAGGAGAACGAAAGAGGAAGCCCTTACTAGCTCTGATGAGTCTCATGCAAAACTGCTAGGTAATATCCTTAATTACATGAGTTTGATAATTTTCTAGAGTTGGGTTAAAATTTTGCACATCACCCCAAAAAATAATTAACATACCGTATAGTGGGAAAAGTTAGTGGATTTTGGCGATTGGCGGTTTGCAAGTGGAATCGCCAATATTAAAACTGCCAATCATTAATGCGCATGCTCAGCAATGCATGTGTACACAAAAATCGCCAAATTAAAAACTGCCAATTAATTTTTACAGCAAAATTGCCAAAATAAAGCGCTATACAGTATATTTACCTCCCACAAAATTACCTAATTTACTAAAATTAAAATTAAATTAAATTTACACTGTGTTTATATTTAAATTAAAATTAAATTTGCATGTACTGAAATTCGACTGCCATTTATTGTTACTATATATTTCTTGGCCTGAGTACAGGCATAAGGGCTTCATGCATGCTAAAGGTGTAGAGAGCTCCCATGCATCATGGGCACATGCATGTAGTTAAATTAATTTTAAAAGTTTCCATTTTGCCCTAATCATACTACTATTAAATTATATACAATATAAGTGTCAGTACATGACAATATCATTATTACAATCTCATAGACATTAGTGATCTTGATGATGTCATTGAAGGGTTAGAGTCAGTTGATTACACCAAGTGGAAAACATTGGGTGTCCACTTAGGACTGTACCACACTACACTGGATGCCATTAAAGCAGATCATGGAAATGTTAAAGATTGTCTGATGGAGTGCATGGCTGCCTGGTTAAAAGGAAAAGATAAAGTGAGAGAGAAAGGAGGTCCCAGTTGGTCGTCATTAGCTACAGCACTAGAAAAAATTGGAGCAAATGACATTGCTATTAACATTAAAGCAAAGTAGTGTAGGCCATAATTTTGCTGCTATTATTATTTTTAGATTAGCATTTTTGTAGTATTAGTTTTTTGTAGCATTAGTTTTTTGTAGTATTAGATTATTTTTCATATTTTGTAGCATTAGACTTAGTACTGATTTTTTGTAGTTTCACATATATTTACTGCTGCTTTGTTTTGACTTAAAATTAAAATTTTTCATGATGTGAATGAAACATCTCAGTCGCGACGCCAACGGTAAGCTCACGTGAATTTTATTTTCCAAGTGACGTCATAATGGCTGCCAAGTGATGGCTAAAGCTGTGTTTAGTTTTGTGCAGTTTACAAGATGGTGGGTAGTCTATAGCTCTAAGAAGCAGACTCAAACTTGAAGCAAAAAGGTATAGAATCAATTGGTTAGTTTTCAGTCTGAAATGTAAGTACATTTTGCTTGTTATTGCCGGTCGCTGTTTGGAAAATGGTGTACACTATCTAGGTATATAATAGTACTGGGACTGGCCAGAACAGCTCAGAATTAGGTATGCAACTGGCCTATTAGTAGATCTTTGTGTATGCAAAGTTTCGTTTTGATACTGTTGTCTAGAACGACAGTTGCATCCATAATGTAGATTCAGCCTGCATGGTCCATTCTTTCATGCCATATTTTGACTGTTCTGTTCCTTTTTTCTACAGATTCCACACTCAGGATCATTAATCAAGTCATTTTACCTCAATAGAATTGTTTGAAATCCTTTTAGAGCTAGATTTTATACTTGTCATTATAGTCATATTATGTGCCATTGACTTTCAGAGACCACAGCATCCTTATTTCTTGCTGGAACAACTTTAAACTTCTGGAGTATATTCTTCTAGCTACTATCTTGTTGTAAGCAAATGGACAAGAAGCTGGAGTTGTCTAGAACACTGTACGCATCCGGTAAAGTCAAGGACATCAGTTGCTTGCAGTTCTGTTATAGTTTATTTAAACTGGTTGATGTTTTTTATGGTGATAAATATGTATGTTCTGTGTATTGTATGCAAATTTCATAGTAAAACTATTAAATGAAAAATAAATATAAAATAAAGTAGCAACTCATTAATTATTCATACTGTCAAGTGTATTACAATGAAATTATACAGGCTCTTATGACTTCCGGTACCGTTGGCGTCACGACTGATCTGAAAAGTGAAAATTCTGAACTCATTGAGCTGCGCATGCGTACAAAAATTTAGCCTACATATACGGAAAGAGCTGAGTTTACTGAGTCAGATTACGGATAAAACATGGAGGAAAGTGGATCAGAAAAGTCAACCAGAGAAAAAAAAGACATATCCTTTGTAAGCTAACAAGAACTGATCCTTATTAACAATAACAATAGGAAGATGCTTACATTCCTTTTGAAGAAGAAATACTACGTCATCCTTACAGTGTAAAGTGCTGGATAAAGTACATTGAACACAAACAGATTAAGAGTGACCACGCCCACTCATCAGCAGTCAACCTAATATATGAGAGAGCACTAAGAGTATTACCAGGAAGGTATAGAATAGTATTTATATTTATGCTTTGTTGTGTTAAGGGGGCGATTTTAATTTATTATAAATAATCTGCTTTCATTGTAAAAATTAAAACTGTCCTAAATGACAAAATTAGTAAAACAAACTACTTCCAGTATATATACAGTAAATATTATTATTGGGGCGAGCCTGAGCTCGCCCCACATAAACGAGACGAGTATGTTTGTCTGTCTATCTGTTCATGTACGTCACCCCTATTTATGCGTAATACGGTAGATGCTATGCATTGAAAAGGGTATATAAATTCAGTTTTCAATATTTCATTAAAGGTGGGAGTGGCCACAATGAAATAAAATGGCGACCAACACATGGGGAAAAGTCGTGAGTTTTCTAGCAGCAAAATAAGACAGAAATTCTGTCCAAAGGCTTCTCCAACAGCCAGGCAAGGTTATAGATGCAATAAAGTAACTATGAAACTTGTTTTTGCTGATAACTCGACTTACTGTACTCGCATACTGCTGTCCAAAGCAACAGCAAGGAATGTCATGTCCAGCAATGAGTGGTCGCGGATTAGTATACTGAGCAATTATCTCCGTATACTACTGGTTGACTTTATACAGGGCAGGAATGGACATTTCCATTTACTAGGCTATATCTTTCTTCAGAATAAGTCTCATCAATTTGCGCACTTCAGTAGTTGTTCTCCATAATTATACCTGTGTTCCTGCTAAATATGACAGCACTTGGAGTAACTTCGTGTGGAACATTTGCAGATTAAAGATA